ACATGGGACATTCATGATGTCACCTGAGGGGGACAACCCCAGTTCGTTCACCCCGCCGCCCCTTCACTGTTGAGTGGCTTGTGTTGCGAACCGGCCCTGAGTGTGTCCGCGGTCCACGCTCCGCAGCTTGGTCCGGTGCGCCCCGCACACACCCCTTTCCTCTCCTCGCCGAGAACCACGCCGGCGGAGGACGCCCCAGTGTTGGTCCTTGCCATTGGGTGACACGACGGAGACAAGCCCACAGAGGTCTTACGAAAGGTTCTCGGAAGGGCAGGAAAGTGGCCTTTCCTCCTCCTGTGTCCGCGTTGCGAACAGGCCAGAATGATGTAATTGACGAGGTGTATCTTAAGCGCCTCTGCTTTCTCCTTGATGTTGACTTTTCTCAGTAACTTTCGGGCTGGCCCCGTTAGTCATCTTCCTCACAACTATCAGAAGTAAGTCCATGCACAGACAGCGTGAAAATGAGATCCCCACGAGGCTCCATGTTACCTTTCTCACGAGTTTGCAATCCAAGATCACGTCGAGCTCACTTTAAGATACATGGCTCTAATTGTGATGTTTCTGTATAGGATTAGTGCGAAATATGTAGTGGAATTTGGGGAGGTAGGGGTCGTTCCCATTGGTCGAAATCACGTGTAGCAGCCGTCATAATCTCTGTGCCTTTTCAGCACTGCGATGCAAAAGATCTCAGGCTTGGGGTCAGAAAAGCTTGGTTTAGAATATCAGCTTTGACACCTAGCAGCTGAGGAATCAAAGACAGTATTTGTCCTCCCCAAGTCTCGGCCTCTTCACTTTAAAGTTAGAGATGGTAATAACCACCGTTATATTGAGAAGCACTAAGATCTTTCCAAAATTATGTTCCATTCATTTCCTGTAACTCTTGACAAAGGGAATTACTTCCTCCTTGCATGATGGTGAAGTATTTGACAGATTTCAAGCAGAGGGAAAGATATTTATGTCCCATTGTTGTCAATAACATTAAAAAATATGTAAAACATCAGATTGATTTATTTATTGAAGTGTAATTTACATTCCGTACTATTTATCTTTTTTGGTGTACAGTTTTATGATTTTTGAAAAATGCTTAGAGTTCTGATAGTATCACCACAATCAAGATACAGAACAGTTCCTTCAACCCCCAAATTCCTTCCTACTCCTTAGTAGTTCATTCCTTCACCTCATACCCAGCCCTTGGCAACCACTAATCTGTTTTATGTCTCTACTATTTTTCCTTTTTCAGAAAATCATATATATAAAATTACACAGGATGTAGCCTTTTGAGTCTAGCTTATTTCAGGTAGCACAATGCAATTGAGATTCATCCATGTGTCAGTAGTTGTTCCTTTTTATTGCCAAATAGTTTTCTGCTGTTACTTTTCATAATACTGAGCTTTAGTCGATGTTCCCAAAATGGAATCCGTTGAGGACAAGGCAGGGATAGCAGTGGACAGAATGTTATTGTGATGCTTGCTTTTAGAATGCAGGACAAATGTTTCATCATAGTAGATTTACTTTTAGAATACACTTTTAAGTATAACCTTCATTAGGTTTTTTTGCATAGCAAATTGTTTAGGCTACTGGCAGTGATTTTCAGACTGTTCATTTTTTAATAATTATTAAATAAATCTTCAATTCAACATTTTCTTAGAAAATGTTACTTTTGAAAAGATGTTTTCATTTCACTCAGTTTTTAATGAAGCTTGTACATTTATAAAAATTGCGAGCAAAGAAAAATTCATGCTTAGGTTTTCATGAACGTATTTAGTGTCAAATTATATTTTCTGTATTTATGTTACTATATTTAGATTCACATATCTTTGGATTGTCATTGTGCCAAACACATTATTTTAATAACATTTCCCGAATTTTATATTTCATGCTTTTTGGTTTAAAAAAAAAAAAAAAAAAAGATGGCCTTTGAATATGGAGTTCTCAAACACTTTGGGGAAGCCAGATCAGTCAAGGTATAAACCAGACTTGAAAGATGTAATTTAAAATTGAGATTTGTCAATCTAAAATTGAATTTTGTTTAAAATTGAAGGTTATTTTTTATACCATTTCTATGTGCCTCCTTTTTAAAAATGTTAGTTGGATTTTACGTTGTGTTCTAACCTGAGAATCACTTCCTTTTTATTTACTTATCCATTTATTTTTAACTATTAAATTATGAAATATTTCAAATATAAAAAGTAGAGAGAATGATAAAACAAATCTCCATGTACCTTACTCACTTTAGATAGTTATCAACTCATGGCTAAATTTTATTTACACCTTACCCCTCACTCATCACTCCTCTTATTTTGAAGCACATTCCGACATCATGTCAATTTACCTATGAACATTTCATTAAATATACTTCTTAAACACATACTCTTTTTAAATATAATAACAATATTATCCATCATCCCATAGAAATCAGCAATTCCTTACTATCATCCTGTCCTTATTTCCCTGGCTGTCCCATAATGCTCTTATTTAATGATTAATTTGTTTACTTATTTTTGCAGTTTGTATAAATTGAGCTCTAAAATCTTTATATTATGATTGCTAGTATGTTTTTAAGCCTCGTAATTTATAGGTTTTCTCTTTACGTTGATTTTCCTCCCTTCTATCTCTCTTTCTCTCATACATACACCCCTGCTTTTTCAGGCATAGGTGTTTCCAAAAAAAACATACTTTTTTTTTTTTTAAGTAATAGCATTAACCCATTTATATTTGTTGTAATAAGTCATATATTTAGTCTTCAGTCATCTTATTTTTTGTTTTCTGTTATTTATGTTTTATTATGCCTGACTGCCCCCCTTAGATGTCTTTTGCAGCATAACCTTCATTTTTCTTAAAAATGACTACCAAGTGAGACCTGAGAGTGAATGCTACAGTCCTGTGGCTTCTCATAGGGCTCTGGTAGAATTTCTCTGGGAGAACTGTACTCAGTACTCAAGGTGCCTTCACTTTCAGCCCTTGTAAATGGAAATCTTAAGAATGTCGGTATCAGGTCAGAATCATAGTTGAGAAATAGAGAAGGAGCTCGTGGAATGCTTAGCACATGCTATTGTTGAGAGTATTTTTTTTTTTTTACCTTATTTTGTAACATCTTACAAGCTGTTCATATTAGTGATAACTAGACCTCTCTGTGGGAGCATTGGTGGCATTTCCAAATTCCTTTGACTTGACCCTTACCATTTATTTGTCCCTTGCTCTCAGGCTTGCTGCTCTAAGCTTAGAATTTTCACAGTACTTTTTTGGGGAAACTCATATAGATTCTTTCCAGTGTGGCTGACATGTCTGTGCTGATTCACGAATCATAGTTGAGAAATAGAAGAAGGAGCTGTGGAATGCTTAGCACATGCTATTGTTGAGAGTATTTTTTTTTTTTTTACCTTATTTTGTAACATCTTACAAGCTGTTCATATTAGTGATAACTAGACCTCTCTGTGGGAGCATTGGTGGCATTTCCAAATTCCTTTGACTTGACCCTTACCATTTATTTGTCCCTTGCTCTCAGGCTTGCTGCTCTAAGCTTAGAATTTTCACAGTACTTTTTTGGGGAAACTCATATAGATTCTTTCCAGTGTGGCTGACATGTCTGTGCTGATTCACAGGCTAGTTAGTACTGCCGAGTTTGCCTTCTATCTCATCCTGTACTATTTATTAATTTTTTAATGTGACAAATACTTTTCATCACTGCTTTATGCAAACCATATCTATTTGATGAATTTCAGATCTATTGGCCTAATATTACTATTAGGCTACTAACAGATAAAGATACTATTAGGTACTAACTCTTAAGGCATACCCCCTTATATATTCTTTAATAAATTCAAAAGGATTTGGGAAGATAAATGAGGTAAACATGAATCAATGGCTATTTTAAACTGAACTGTACATATTTAATTTGTAACAAATTAGAAATACATTTTTCCTCCATTTTGTTCTCTACTTACCATAGCCGCCAATGTTTTTTAGTAATGCTTACTTACATTAATGATAAGTAGCAGTCATTGGGTATTAATTCTGATTATTTCATGTCTTTACAATAACCATTAAGGGATTATTATCCTCATATTAAACATAGGTTATTGTTTCATTCCTGAATACTTAAATGAGCTTCATGTGTACGTGCCTGGGTACAGAGTAGGTACTCAAAAAATAGCTGTTAAATGAATTGTTAAAAGATATTTATGGACCCAGAAATATAAAAACAAAAACAAAGCAAAAAAAAATTTTTAAACTACAGGAAATGATAGTTTTAAAAAATGTTAAAACAGATAATTAAAGTATATTTTGTATGTTTATTTATGATAAATGGGCCAAATTATTCTTCAAGGATTAAAATACTCTCATTAGAAATAAGTATGTTTTCTATAACTTTTCTAGTGTGGTTCCTGTAGACACTTAGCTTGATCAGTGACCTAAGTTTAGTGTCATAGCAAGCATCAAACTTTTGTTAAGATACCGTCTAATTTTTTTCCTTTCAGGAAGAATATATCATCTGGCAATTCAAAACCTATATCATCCCCTATTACTTGTACTTATAGAGCTGCATTGTTTTTTATGTCACCAATTCGTATTTAATATTTAAATATACTAAAAACTATAATGAATTAGAACTCAATTAAGACATAGTTATTAAGCATCAGACAAAGTAAATGGTCAAAATTATTAAGAAGGTATGTCTTGTTTCAGTAGGTAACTGGATGATCATGATGTAACTTGATGAATGTGATATTTACTCTTAACATTTGGGAAATCATTAAGACATGATAGATTTTTCCAGAAGGTGGCAGCATTGTTTTAAAAAATTATAGGTTGCCTGTTTAATATTTTTGAGTTGATTTGAGGGAGGAATCTTTTCTCTAATTGGATTTAGATGTTTTCCTCCAAAATAAAAACCCAACATTACTGCTTTATATAGTG